AGGAGCCACTGGTTGGCCGCGGCCAGACCCCGCTGATAAGAAGCTTCCTGGTCCGCGGCTGAAATGAGAGGGGAAGGGCGGAGCCGAGCGATCACCTGGTCAAGGCGACCGTGAGCCACACCCAGGGGAGCAGGTGCCTGCAGACGAGAGAATCGCTTAGGAGAGCGCTAGATCGGGCCAACAGCCAACGGACATTTTCCTTACCAACCTGGGCAGGAACGCCCAGCGGAAAAGACCGGCCAACGGGGGGCCCGGCAGAGGCGGCGGCGGCGCCGGCGACAATCCCAGGGCCAGGAAAGAAATCCTACGGGAAGCCCACCGAGACACGAGAGTCAGCCAACACCGCACACGGAACAGGTGGCAGCAAACAGATAACCCACAGAAGGCGCCAAAGGAGGAGACTCGAGAGATGGAGCCGACAACCCAGCCCGGGAAAACGGACCCCCGGGAAGGCTGAGGCCGCCAGTGCGAAGAGGGACCTGCGGAGAGCCGGGCCAGTCTCACGGGGCGCGCAAAAGTACAACATAATCGGACGGCGACACCTCACCACGCCTCGCAAGCTCCGCCCAGGAACAAAGGAAGGCGGCACGGAGCTAGTCGCGTCAGTGCCGAGAAAGGCAAAGTCATCGATCTAGGCACGACAGCGGTACGGAAACGCATCAAAAATGGTCGCTCATTCAGGACAACCGGAAATCAGTGGATTACATTTTAATAATCTAAGCCTAAGGAGAAAGAGATCAGCCGAGATGCAAGGAGGCAGACGAACAGGGCGTAAATCGACCACGCGCATTGGAGACCACAGTAAGGCGCAAGGGAAGCCAATAAATTTCCCTGTCATAAATGCAAGCACTTACTGCCGCTCCGGACCCAAGACCTAAAACTTGCGGACCAGCCGACTTACCATTCGCGAGGTCGTATTTACTTTTGCGGGAGATGTCGATTGCATAGATGGTAGCTGAGGCCGTGATTAGGCATTCTTGGAATGGGAACGGAAATGGAACATGGGAATGGTGACGCTGTCGGAATGGCTAAAAGAGCTGTTGCAGCGGACTCGGAAAAAAGGGTAAACTGCGGCGGCGCATTTCGCAATAAGCTTGCTGGTAGGATTTCCACCCTGGCTGAACCACCTGCAGGTTATAGAGTTACTTTTGTTGTATTCTTTACTTTTTTCTGCTTCCCTATGGAATATATATACATTCGACCGGTCACCGATCGGTCACCGGGTCCAACTGGTCGTTAGGTAGGGCGGGGCCGTGGTAGGGTAGGGTTACCGAGGAGTTACCGGCCTTAACCTTACCGTTGGGTTAACCCACCGATAGGCTACCCTACTAACCGGTTACCGGCCTGCCTGGACAAAAACACGGTTGACCGTAATGGAATGTATTGGAAAGGGTAACCATGCATAAGAAGTGCCTTGTCTACGCCTGGTTTAGTAAAGCGACCAGACCTGCCTGCTGAGCTGCTGCGTGCTACTGTGCGCGCTGACAAAAAAATTCCTAAAATGGCTGCCCATGTATACATCTTTAGATTTTATTTACCATACGCTCTACAGAGGTAAATTTCAAAACTTGGACCAAATTCACAAACAGTTTTAGATCCTATGCTCGTCATTTCCTCACCTCGGGGTGAAATGACGAGCATCCCTACCTAAACCATCCATACGCGACTCGGGCCAGAAGCAGTCTAATGGAGAGCTACATGACATTTGTAAAACTACATGATTTTGTGGTTGCAGCTTGCTGTATATTGAAAATACGCCAGATGTTTTTATTTTAGGACATAGTTAACCATGTTCGCGAGGAAAACCGGCCCTGGAAAAAGCAAGTAGGAACATTTTATAGAATGTTTGGCTCAGCTAATCCTCGCGCTTTAGAGTCTCCTAGCTCGTCTGGGCCTTACAATATCGTCAGCTTGTAACATCGCCTTGCATTCACTTCAACTCCGAACGGGCCATGGGCTAGGTTGGCTACATGACTTGGGACAGCATGCAGGCTGCAAAAGTCTGGACTTAGGGTGCAATTGCATGCAGGCGGCTGGCAGAGGTTAAGGCCTGACTTCTGCTCCCAGTCGACCCAGTCGACCCGGGTTCAAATCCGCCTGCCGGCTCCTCGGGTGTTTGAGGAGTGAAGAAATGGGAGGTGGCCCCCCATCATATGGACGGTGTAGGACGTGATAATATCAACTTGCGACCTGACCAGGAACTAAGTTGATGCGCCGTTGATCCGCTAGATTTGGTTGGATGCTGGTGGTGAGTTGCCGAACCCAACGAATACATTCTGAAGTCGGATGGGGTGACGGATTAGGGTGCCCCTCTAGCAGGGGAGAGCAGGGATTGCCCCGGGAAAGGGGGCCGCTGGCGAAGTTAACCACCCTGTAACAACATACACTGCAAAGGTCCGGACAAAACGAGCAAAAAGCACTTACCACAGCGACAGCGAAAAGGGTAAATGTAGCCAAGGGTAATATAGCGTCCTCTGAGATTAATCAGCCTAAGCGACAACCACACATTTGAAATCCTTGTTTCCCACGGACGCGGCCTCATTATTCATCCCCAGTCAAGGATAAGCAACGGACACAGCTTGGACCCACACCGCTCGGCTAATCCGATTGTCAATTGAGGTCGAAAGCATGCTTTTAACCTAGATGAGAGGAATGTGCAAAACTGGAGACGAAAGAATAGGATCATGTTTTGCGTTCGGTTAAGTATCCAACTGTAGGAAACCTAACCAACCAAACTTAATCCCAACAGTCGATAGCTAGACCCAAATTTACCAGAGCACTTATCGTTACTCGCCCAGATTCAAGCGTTTGTGAAGGGAAGCAAGAGTACAACGCGCGGCAAAGGAACAGCTGTGAGTTTTGCGTCTTCTATGGGGGTCACACTCACGCACGGTGACAAAACGCTCGCTGTGCTGGCATCGAGGACCGCCGTCACGGCGACCAAAAACACGAACTCAATGACCCGCACAAAGCAACCAAATCCTCTCATAACGCCTGTATACCACGTCCCTTACCTGTCAAGCATGAAACAAGCACCTCTACATCTCCCTGCAAGCAAACCTCCAGGTAGCCCGCTGCTTTGCTGCTGTACCCCGGCACAACACCCATGGCGGCATGCACACACCGCGAAACACCGGACACCTTACCTGAACATCCAGATTCGCACCACGTCCCCACCTTTCCAAAAAGAACCCACACGCACTCCTGCTGCGTGTGTATTTTGTTCCTATTAGCGTCCACTTCCCCCGTCCGACGTACAAACTCCTGCTCAGAGAATTAGTCAGGGGACGATAGAGAGGGAGAGAGCTGGTCCACACGCAGACGAGCGCACCCCAAGATGCGAGATGAGCCACCTCAGGCGGCCTCAGGGCCCCCGGCCCACAGAGACCTCAAGGACACACAACAATGCCATGCATGGGTCTTAATGCATGGGGGGTCGCTCAGCCCACCCCAGCCCAGCTGCATCGCATGCTGCAAAGCCCCACATGCCTTGACCTCCCTTCCTGGATACTTCCCTTGTTGCGGGCCCCGCTCTAAATGGACCAGCAAGTGGAATGGAACGCTGGGAGCTGTATCCTTCCAAAGAGACATACCTCCGTCCTCTGCGCGGTAAACAGGTTGGTCAGGGCTCAATCCAGGAAGTTGCGGCGGCAGCCGCAGCCGCAGCCGCAGCGGTGCAAGAGAAGGACGCGTTTCGCTACATGCTTCAGCGCCAAGCGTGTATGCCTACATGCCTGCTCCTCACCGCGCCACCCGGCATATGCGTCTCGCCACGGCACGCCATGGACCCCCACACGTGGACCAGAGGCGCAACTGGGACAGCGAGGGCAAGAACAACACTGGAGAGCGCACTCCGTACGTCATGCATCGCATCCGTACATCCGAACGTGGGGCAGACCACCCAGGCATCTAAGCACCCAGATATATACCCTTCTTCTCAACACCCTCATATCAACATTCCTTTAAAAAAATGCTCGGGTTGAAAACCTGGAGAAAGGAAGAAGCTCATGGAGGTCTGGGTGGGTTACTGCTAGTTCTCCGATTGCTGCTGCAGTCAGGCCGCTGCGGCCGATAGCGATGCCGACACCGCCGCAGCGGCAACAGCAGTTTGGCAGAAGCCACGCACACCACCCGCCGCTGCATCACATCCCTCCAGGATCGTAGTCCAGGTTTTTGAGCCTTGCTGTGTGAGGGCGGGGTACCGGCAGGGGCATTTCAAGGCAGCTACGTCTACTGCCACCGACACCACCGTCGTTCGGGCACATCAAGTCCGTTTAAAGGTCGTCCAAGAAGCCGTCGCCACCTCCTTTTCCGTCGTTGCCGGAAGCCCGGACTCTCCTTCCGCCTTCGCTTCCGCCGCCATCGCCACCGTTCTCGCCGCCTCGACTGGTGGCGGCTGCGGCGGCTGCGGCGGCTTTCCGCAGCTCTCGCTCCTCCCGCTCCTTCTCCATTAGCGAGTCCTTCAGGCGCTGCAGAGAGGCTTCGAGCTCTGATACGCGGGCCTTATGTGCCGCACTCTGTCGCTCGAGCTGTGCTGAGCCCTGCGGTCCGGTGCGCAATTACAGCCGCATACAAATATGCACAATTTCACGCAAAGCAAACTCGGGCCTTATGTGTCACGCAACAAACAAGACCAACAACCGCAACAACAGCGGCAAGTCAGCCCCAGGCTTGAACAAAACGGCACGAAGGGAACATGCCAGCTTTAATAGCTTCGGCGAATAGTTGACGCCCGTGAGGATGAGGACAGCGTGGCGCATATATGTCTAGTGTCGAGCCACCTTCTTCGAGTCCCCTGCTTTCCCTCCTCCTCCTCCCCCCCTTACACGCACAACCTGAGTCCGCAACATGGAAATCTCGCCCTTCAAGGACCCGATCTCCACGTCGCGTGCGAGCGCCTTTTGGTTCGCTGCCGCCTCTCGTGTGGTCGCTTCCTGCGCGCGTCCCTGCGCCTGAACAGGCAGACAGACAGACGGACAGGCAGACGAGGGAGGGAATGAAGAAAGCAAACACCACGTGAGCAGTGGCGTGGCGCGGCCCTGCCCCTAAGAAACATGGCCCACAGGGGCAGTCCTCGGGTCATCAACGCGCACACGCACGACACACACAGACAGCGGTGAAAAGACGGACGGACGGCCAAGCTGTACAGCAGGTCAATGCTTGCAAAATGCAGTGGAGCAGAGAGCGCGTGAGGTCTATGGGTCCATGGCAAACCCCGCACACGCGCGACCCCGGACTGTTACGAACACTGCTGTTCCCAAGCTGACAAACTTGACAAACAACAAGACAGTGTTCAGACAGACATAGGCTGTGGGAGCTGCCCAGGATTACGTCAATGTCGGCAAGCCAGTGCCCTACACGCGCAAGGAGAGCCAGGTGGCGCTGACGGTGGCAGCACCAGTGACCCATGGGTCATAAGGCTCACCACAGGACATGCTGCCATCCAGCTATCCAACACATCTACTTTTTGGGTCACAGCGCACACATCGCGTTGGGTCGTATGTCGGGAGCCATTGGCCTGGTGACCTGGAGATCTGTCAGTTCTCTTTTACTTTGCGTTGGTTTGGTGACTGCTTCGTCAATCGAGCGGACATCCGCCACCACCACCGCTAACACCGCGACCGTAACAGACCCTGCCAACACAGAACCGAAGTCCTTTGACCCTTTCCCCAAACGTCAACGCACTCTCACCCAGCCACAAACTGCCATCCACCACTGCCCAAAGAGGGGGCGGAATTTGGTTTTCCCCCCATCCAAAATCTCGAGAATCACCTCGTTTTACTCGGAATACCGTAACGCGACTTATTTGGGTCGTTGCCATGTCGTACCTCTTCTAACCGCTGATAAAGCCGCTGGTTCTCTTCCCTTTCCTTCCGCAAGGACTCCTCCAGGTTCCGTACAGTTAACTCACGCTCCTCAACGACCTGCCGCAAGTGCTGGATTTCCTGCTGCTGCTGGTGACTGTGATTGTGGTGGTGATGTTGATGTTGTTCGGTGCTGGCTGACACGACTGCCACCGGGCCGAACTGGTCCCCAAAAAGTGGCGGTAGCGGCGGATGCGGCGGCGGATGCCGCTGCGAGGACGAGGAAGGGCCTTCGCTGCGATGCCGTGCACGTTTGTGCGCGGAGCCAGTGCCGCTCTTGCCGCCGCCGCCGGAGCTGGACGCATTGGCGCGCTTGCGCTCATAGTCGGCTTTCATCATGACATGGAAATTCTGGGGCACGCCGGCAGGTGAGGCGCTGCTGGTGTGGGGCTGCTGCGGGGGGTTGCTGACCGCGGCATGTGCAGAGGCGGCCTCCGCGAACTCAATGTACACGCTGCCCCGGAAGCTGTTTGTGGAGAGCTCGCGGCGCAGTTTGACCCGCCTGACGCTGTAAAACATGACGACGATGCACGGGATGATGAGGTTGTCGGGTGGCGGGGGATCCCCCACCACGTCGTGAATCGATCAACGCGTGGTTTTCTATGGGTGAACGGCTCAGCGTGCATCGCATGAGTGGACTGGGACAGCATTAACTCCTGGCGTGTTAGCTCTATTGTACTTACGGAGAGCGCAGCAATCTATGCACAGCTGGGGAGGCCGGCTGGGGAGGCCGGTTCTAACACGTCGGGAGCACACGGCAGGCAAGCAGTGACGGTAAGCGGGTGGCCTTGACAAGGCGAGATGAACTAGTTGCTCTCGCAGCCGGATGCTGTGCCCAGCACGTCAAACGACTTCTAATTCGAAGCTCTCGTCGCCGCCGGCCCAAAACAATGTAGCAAGCACATAAACCAGGTGTGACTGGGTCGAACCCGATTTTTGCACACCTGCCATATGCTCCAAAGATCTCCCTAACGTGTTCATCCGTTGTCGACTTTGGAAAGGGTTTCTGCCGACATAAACACGAGGCAACCGTCGATGGACCGAAACATAACCGCATTTCCAAAGTGCAATATAGCAGGAATAGATAGGACCCCTTCTCACCGCATAAATTGTCCTGGCATCCGAAGCTGTATCTTCAGAAGGAAAAGCCATCGACCACTGACGCTGGACAGCCAATTCTCAAACCTGTAGTGAATTCTGCTTATCTTTGCCAAATAGCTGCGGGTGTGTGCATCTTGGTGTCTGGCCAACTGTCTTAAGGCAGATGTGCAATCTTCTGTCAACGCGTTTGAAGGTCCGAATACGCACTCGTTTAATTTCTAAGCATTCGAGTGTATGTCTATTACACAGTGGCTCTGAAAAGTGTCTCCAAGTTGTAGTCTGTCACCAATTTGGGGGGAGAAGGATGGTTGCACGAACTGGAAGATGATTGAACTCCAAGCGAGGCAACTAGAGACAAACGTAATTTCCTTGATATATTGCTGCACTTCTGTTAACCCTGCTATGGGTCTCATCGCTGCGCCGCGAGGATAGAGTCCTTACAAAACCTGGCCCCAGCTGTTTTGTCAGCTGCTAGCAACGGCGAAAGCTTAGCAAGGCATCTTAAAGCTCAGCCTGGAATTGCTGGGAGCAGCGGCTTAAGGTGATTATGGAGGACCATGTCCACATCTCAAGACGACTTCCTTGACGCTGATTCTTTCAGCGCCGTTCTCCGCTGCCACAGATGAGTGGGATGGCCAGTGTCGGCCGGAGGGCGACCACGGGCTCGGGGCGTTCAAGGTAAGTGGGGCCTGCCGGCTGTGGGAAAGGCGCGTCCCCCGCGGCCAAGGTCGACAGGTCAATCGATGCGAGCTCAATCTCCTTTTGCAGTGGGGTCTTAAACTTGGCTTGCCATCTGGGAGCAGGATTTTAGGGGACAGCCAGTTGTGTTGACGTCCGCCGGTCGGCTAATGGCATGCCTTGTGCCAATGGCGTAGTGTGTACCTCCCTCTTCCCGCTTCAATATCTTGCATGGTCGAAGACTCCTTGGGTGTCGCGCAGGCTCTAGGCCTATTTGTTTCTATGCCCTGGCCGGCTGGCGTGCTGAATTTACATCAGGCCACAACTGCAACTGTAGAATATAGCTCCAGGTGCTGACCATCTACGTCCATAAATATGTTTTTTATTTCATCTAGGAGGAACATGTATAGCGGTGACTTCGACACAGAGTCTGGTGACCATGCAAGCGGCGCACCTGTGACCGGCGGTATTTTTAAGAACGCCGCGTTCGAAATTCTCAAGCAAGAGGAACGGCTTATGACGTCAGGTGAGAACACTCCAAACTTTGAAGGGGCGTTGACCAAGTTGGTCGAAGGAGTCCTGTCTTCCGCCAGGGAGCCGGCAGGCCAGCTCCCTGCCGTGACATGCTTTTCTTACAAAACGTCTACACACCTTTTGTATAGCCATAATGAACTGAGATGTTATCTGCAACGTGGCTAACAGGGGAGATTACAAAGCTGGCGATTGACAGGAAGCTGCTTAGGTGCATGGGGAAAACCCCCGAGAACACGATGGCGTCGGCGCTGTACACTGAGGTCCGCAAGAAGGCCCACACCACCGTATTCATCAAGTAAGGCTTTGGGAAGATCCAGTCAAATGACACCTTGGGTCATACATTCAACCTCCTTGCCATGGTTTTCTAAAGTTCTAAGGCCCATGCAACAGCTACTCTTCTTGCAAGGGGAGAAGGAACTAGCCATAGACGAGGGTGGGATGCCTGATGCAAAAAATCATGTTGCACACAGTGCACCGTTGCTGCAATACTTTTGCCCATGCCAGTGCTCTCCCAAGCCGCCCCCGTCTGCAATGCCAGCCTGTTCTTCAGCATCATGTGGGTTGGCGGACGTGCTTTGTGTTTATCTTTGTACATATCCCTTAATAGACCAGCATCCCTGTAATTAACTTTCAGCGCAGCAGGGGATCTGATCTGGGTCATAGCGACCCCATTCCCGCAGGTTCCCTGGTGAAAGAAGCTGACTTGGGCATGAGCATCCAGGGACGCTGTTCGCAAGGTGCCTTGCAATTAAGCCTTCACACCGCCGTTCCCTCCTAGGCACTTGAGAGCTCCTTGAACCCAATCCGGCCTAACCACAGCTCACCTCGCGCCTAACAGCATTCTAACCACATGAACCTAGTCTCTGCCCAGTCCCGCTGCCGCGGCATCAAAGCCGACCCCTGCATGCTGCACATGCCTGCTTCCCCCGACTCGCCCGTACACTCTTGCCCTGGCAGCAGCTTCACTCGTTCGTGGTTCGTCTTTCCCCCACCGCCCGCCTTGGCTTCCTGTATTTGATCTGTACAGGCCTAAAGAAGGCCTCTTCGGTCTGAAATCCTGGCTGAACGAGCCCTGGCTGCTCAACTGGCTAGCCCAGGAGGGCATTGATTTAGCGGACTTGCACGACCCAGGCGGCGCACAGGAGCCCGTGCCCAAGAAGCTACGCACCAGCTACAATGGCGCGCCCTCCCGCGCCGGCGCCGTTACTGGCGGCGGCGGTTACTACTCGAACCGTACGTCGTCCAACGGGGCGCCATTGTTGCGGTCCTCTTCCGCTGGGATGGGGACGTCCCTAGGGGTACCGGCGGCGGTCACCGCAGCGGGGCACAGGGGATCATTGAGCGCAGGGGATGCACTGGGGTCTGGCGGCGGAAGCAGAGGGGGTCGAGGATCTTTCACGAGCTTTGGGCCTGCGCCGTCGGGCAACGGCGGAGCCATTCCGAAGGTGCCTTACGGCGGCGGGCGCGGCGTTACGGCCAACGGCATGGCGGCGGCGGGCGCGGTGGCGGGCGGTAACTCGGCGGGTGGCGCTGTCAGCGACGCGCTGAGCAGTCTACACCTGCTGGTCGATGCAGCGGACGAGATTGAGGGGTAAGATACCTTTTGGATAGGAAGAGATTGTAGCAGGTTTGTGTTCGTTATTTAAGGCCAGTACTGGGGGAAATCCTTGAATGGCCGAAGCAGGTCATGAGCGAAAAGGAGGCGGTCCCAAGGGACAAAGCGAGGGGTGTTTCTTTCTGGACTAGGCAACATGCATGTTGCCAGGATTGGGTGCTCATCATGACATTGCGAGTATATGGCTGTTCCTGTGCTCTCTCTCTCTCTCTGCTTTCACCGCGTGTGCACCCCCTCCTTCCATGTTCGGGTTAACACGGTTTATTGGCTTTTACGCTGCGATCCCCTGGCACTCTCGCGCGCTATCTAATATGTAGTATGGTTGATATACCAAAGCCGCGGAAAGAAAGATAGCTTTTGGTGGTTTGTAACATGTATGGGCTTGTATGTGTATATGTTGTCTGTATGTTTTGTACGCAACAGGGGCCCTGAGGATGATCCAGCTGTCATGCACGGACCGCCGCAAGTTCGACGGCGTAGTGGCGACGTACATCGTCAGCCGTCCTTCCGGCGCCAGCGGCCGCCGCTTAGCCGGGAGCCCTCGATGCCGTGCATGGTTGCCAAGGTCAGGATGCGCGACGAGCTTGAAGACGATCGTCAAGAGGCGCCGGAAGGCGAAGAGGAGGGGGAGGAGGAGATGGCGGAGGGGGAGGAGGAGGGGGAGAAGGATGCTGGCAGGGTAGCAGAAGCAGCGGCCTTTGATGACGATGGCGAGCAGGGAGAGGAGTCAGATGGCGACATGATGGGGCAAGGGGACGGGGCCACGGCGGCGGCGGTGGCGACCTATCGACGTGATGCCGTACTGGCGTTGCAGTTACGTCAACAGTCGTCAAACCAGTTGCACCGTACGGCCGAACAGCAGCGGCAGCAGCATACTGGGAGAGCAGGCGAACTGGCGGAAGAGGCCAGCGACGACAGAAAGAGCGAGGAGCAGCAGCATATCGACGACGGGCCCGAGCATGGTCAACCTAGCGAGGGTAACGGCGAGGACGCGGCGAACCATGGCACGCCTGCCGGCGTTCGCTGGGGCCCCGACGCCGAGAATCTGGGTCACCATCATCCGGGGATTTATCGCGGAATGAGGGGCGGACGAATTTCCGGACGGACCATACTTGGGGACAACGGCGCTGCGGGGATAGCACCTGCGGCAGTGGGTGGCGGCCGAAGGCGGCATGCTCACCGGCCCGGGGTCTTTGGTGCTCAGGCTGCGGGCAGGGGTGAAGAGACAGACGAAGACGAAGGGCGAGAGGCTGAGGAGGAGGATGAAGGGCAAGAGGAGGAGGAGGAGGACGATGTGATGATGAGCGGGGATGAAACCGTGTCAGCGCAGCGGCGACGGACGGCGCTACCTCCTCGGTCTGCTGGCTCGGACCGCCGAACAGGTGCAGATAGCGGCGGAGGCGGAGGCGCCCGGAGGCAGGTTCGAGGAGGCGCACAGCGCTGCTCTGCCAGCAGTCGAAAGCACTCTGACGTTCCATTGCCGCCGCACTTTCACGGGCGCCGGGCCTCTAGAAGCATGCCTCCCATGCCCCAATCGTCAATCCCGATGATGCACATGCCGCCGGGTCAGTGTTTGCCGCTACATCTACTCCAGGGACTGCCGCCGCAGGGCGCAGCAGCAGCGACCGCTGGTCTACCATACAACCCCGCCGCCGTGCACGCCATGCTCGTTGCCGGTGGCGGCGGCGTCAGCGGGAACGGTCACGGTATCGCCGGGGGCCTGCCACTTCCTTCGTCGGAGCGCCTCCGCGCGGTTTTGATGGGCGGTGGGCCTCTGGCTTTGCCCGGCCTGGGTCTGGGTCTGGGCCCCGGACAGCTATCGGGGCCATTTGGGCCGATGCTCGGGCCGCAGATGCTGCCGCCGGGGCTTGGGATGGGCCTGCCCGGTCTAGACGTTGGGGCTCTACTTGGAGACATGCCAGCGAACCTGGCCACCGCCGTTGCCGGCGGCGGGGGGGCCGCGAGCGGCGGCACGCATGGGTATCCGTTGCCGCCATCGCTGGCGCAGATTGCGGCGGTGCTGGGGCGCTCGCCTGGACTGTCTGCCAGCTTCGTGGCGGCACACAACAGGATAGCGGAGATGAGCGGCGCCGCTGCGGAACTCAATGACAATGGAGGCAGGGGCGGCGTGAAGACGGGGCGCGACGCCGTGGCGGTGGCGATGAAATTTGAGGAACGTGGCGGCGGCGGCAGCGGTAGTAGGCCATCGGCGTCACGGCAGAGCGCAGCCGATGGTGAGGAACGCCACCATCAGCTCGGTGGCGGCGGCGGCGGCTGGCAGCTCGGGAAAGGTGGCACAACGAGGAGGGCTGCCAAAGCGCCCTTGAACAGCTACCCCGGTGGTGGCGGCGCTTCAAGTCCTCAGTCGCTACAGATGGGTGCTGATGCCGCAGCAGCGGCAACAGCAGGCGTTGACGGAGCCGCTGCAGGTGGCGGGTCGTCATCACGGTCCGTCTTTGGTGATGGAGGGGAGGCGGCTGCGGCGTGTACCGCAGGATTTGACCAGCATCAGCAGCAGGTGCTCGAAGAAGTTCTGCTTCGCGCGCCCTCGTCGGTATCGCCAATGGGAGGTCCGCCCGCGGCCTCGGTCGCAGTGCACGACGCGATGAACAGCCCAGATTCGCAGCTTGCGGGCGGCGCAGGAAGAGCCTCTCCCGTCAACACGGACGGGGCTGACCGCCACAGCCTCGAAGGCGAAAGCGCAGGTCAGCTAGACAACCAGCCGACGGCAGCAACAGGGGCAGCGGGAGCTGCGTCGGCGTCGGCGTCGGGAGGGCCTCAGCGGCGCCCGGCGGCGCAGGCATCAGGTGTGGCTGCGCCGCCTGGACCACAGCCCTGCAGCAGCAGCGGCGGGCGCCAGTCGGCTGTTGCTGCCGCTGCGGCAGCAGGGGCGGAACAGGCGCAGGGTTTAGGGCCACAGGTTGCCGGGGGCAATGGCGAGGTGCTGGCTCAGCTGGCATTGCTGCAGCAGCAGCACCTGAAGCTGCTGCTGCCAGTAGACGCTGCTCGACAGGGTGATGTGCCCGACCCGGCGTCCATAAACCGCATCCGCCAGCAGGTAGGACTAGGAGGGACGGCTGGTGTGCGCGAGGAAAAAATCGCAGGCTTAAATCTGCGAAAGTAGTCGTCTGATTGCAACGCATGCAAGCCGGTCATGACTATGTAATTCTGTTTCAAACTGCCTTTTGGATGGAAGCAGGGACTATGTTTCCACACACTGCTGTTGCCAACTCGGTTGTCTTTCAAAACTTCTGAAGCTATATTGTGGATGGTCCTTTTGTGCACTAATGCGCGCCATTAGTTATCTTACATGTTGCGTTATGCAAGCAAGTTCCATCTTGCATCAACCTGCAGGTCCTAGAGACGGAGTCACGCATGGGGCCTCTGCATCCGGAGACCGGCCGCGCATACGTGCTGTTGGCGCGCGTGTTAGAGCACAAGGGAACCTGCTGGAGCCTCTCCATGGCGGAGCGTGCGCTGCTGCGCGCTTGGACCATTGTCAGCCTCGTCAGCAGCAGCAGGCGGCCGTCGGATCTTGGTTCAACAGTCTCTGCAGCCGCTGCACCAGCGTCGGCGGTTTCTGGCGCTGTAGAGGCCGACGCTGCAGAGGGGGGTACGTCCGCGCTCGGGGAGATGCTAGGGCAGCTGCCTGACAGCTTCCACAGCTTCCAGTACCTTCTGGAACAGATCCGCATGAAGCTCAGCTTTTTGCAGGATCGGCAAGAGCGGCAGCTGGTGGCGCTGCTGCGGATGGTGGCGATGGTAGGTGGCGCGCCGGCGGCAATGGCGATGGAAGCGACGGTTGCCGGAGGAGGAGGTGGCATAGGTGTTGGTGTTGCCAGACCGCCGGTGCCGCCGCCGCCAGCGGCGGCGGCGGTAGCGGCCCTTGGTAGCATGATGCTGGGTGGTGGCGCGCCGCTGCCGTCTGGTGCTTGAAACGTAGCGGTGCATGATGTTAAACGGCGGACGCGACAGACGCAAGTAGGTGTGGGTGTTTGTCAAAGACGTAGGCGATATGTCAGGGAGCTGAACCAGTCGGTCATTCGGTGTTCAGACAGGCTGCGGGGCTGGCAAAGGTTGCCAGCAGTCAATTACGGGCTCCAGCTCCGGATCAACCTCCGGATATCATCGTCACCACCACCCGAGGCGGTGCACCGCCTCATGACGGTTTGGGGATTTGACCTTGCGCAGTGGCGTTCACGCGGCGACGCAGAGGCCCGTGCTTGCCCTGGCTACTGGGGGGCATGGCTTGAGTGGATTGGAGTATTAAGAATGTCGACACTGGATATAGCCGGCATTTTTTGGTTGGCTAGTTTGTTTGTGTGGAGTCGCATTTCAAGGTCCGATGGTTAAAGCTCAGCGCCGGAGGCCTTTTGTGTTTCTACATGCTGCTGAAGCCGCGAAGTTGCAGACGCGGGGGAGGGGTTGTTGTGGCGCGCGCAGGCGCGTCCGCAAGCTGAAATGCTGACACGTTGATTGTTTTTCGCGGGTTATCCTGACGCTGCCGCAATCGTGGCTTGATGATGACAAAGACGACAATGGCGCTATAACAACACGGAAGTTTTTTTGGGACGCGAGTACACATGGGCATCATACCTCTTTGCGCGCGCGCACGTGTGTGTGTGTATATGGTTGTATCCTCGATCTGCTTCTGCGCTTTGTGGTCCCGTGAAACCCCATAAGGGCGTTCCCCTTGTGCGAATGTGGCCTGTTTCCCTCTCTAGGCCGGTGGCTTCTTGCACGCCGATCTCTACACGCGCCAACGCCCCCTGTGTTGCCCTCTTGATGGCACCACGGGAACCGCTCAGCGGTGCCGCATGGGTTTGTTTGTTTGACTGTCCGCCGCTTTTTAGGCCTGGGTGTGAGCCCCCTGGCCTTGGGCGTCCTCTGGCTGGAAGACCCAGCTTCGGGTGGGCTTTGGGTGATATGCGCCCTGCCGTCCGATGTGTGGAAGTCCCGTGCTCTCGCTGTTGCTGCTGCTGCAGTTGCGCGCGTCACCGGGCGGGAAGTGGATTCCGGTGGGTGCAAGGGGGCCTCCATCGGACCCTGAGTCAACCGCCGCACCTTACCGTCCCTCGGGAGGCTCTCGTTGAGGAGGAGGACCGGGTACTGATATGGTTGTGGTGCTGTTGCGGCAGAGAGAACGCGAGCGACTTGTTGTGGCTCTTGCTGGAAGCACGGTGTCTTTCAAATAGTTAAGAGTCATTACGTGCGTGGGAATTACTTTTGGATGTTTTTTAGATTGCATCCGGGGTGAAGGGGAAAAGGGGCGATGGAGGCCTGCGTGCCTGACCGCCCCCGCCTCGCTGCATCAGCGCGTGGGACTGTCGTTGTGTGACGAGCCGGCCGTTGGGATTATGGCTGTAGGGATAGCTATGTCGCCACGCGCCATGTGGCTCTCATGGGTTGATACCCTGTCGGGTCTTTGCCTCAGGGACGGCTTGTCCGTGCTTCCAATTCCCCTGCTTTTCGTTTTGTGCTACTGCTGCTGCTACCTGCTGCTGCTGGCCACCTTTGTTCGGTGGTTGGTGCACGACTGTTGCACAGGTTTTGCAACGTGCATACCTGGTACGGCGCGCAAGTGCGTACAGCGAGCATGCGTGAATGCTCATGCTCTGGCGGGCTTTTGCTTCTGCTGTGCTGCTGCTCGTATGGTTGGCAGGGAGGGGGTTATTGACGCGTTAACGGCTGCAGTCCAGCCGGTTTCGGGTATTGATAACGGAATCCGGAGCAAACGGACGAGGATGATTGTAGGAAGGCGACAACTGATTGGTAATGATTAGACCGACGTCATGATAGACATACTGCTGGGGGAAAATTGGTCGCGCGGCTTTTGTATCGTAAACAAGCGAATTGCGTGTGTTTTAGGACCGTATCTGCGTGTTGCTGGCCCCGTGCTGTGCTGCAAGCTAGCAGCCAGGTTGGCGCAAACGTCATTGATGCCCTTTTTTTGAGAGGTTCGTAACATGTCGGTCCCAGCGGTGCTAGTGATGTTTTCGTCATCGGAGGCGAGCTGATCCTTCCATTGCTGCTAGTCTGCCGCCGGCGCTGCGACTGCTGCTTTGGGCTTGTATGCATATACATATGTTTCGTTATGTTTGTATGCGTGATGCAAATACACATTGTTTTGCAAGGGGGTTATCCTGAGCCAAGCGCCTGGGAGATTTCGGACCCGTTGCCAGGGGCCGTTCGTCCGATATTTCCCTTCTTCACCGTTGTGGACCGTTGGGATTCGAATGGAGTTTTGCCCGTGTGGTTAAGAATGTATCGTACCTTGCAATGAGATGTGTGCGCTGGGTGATGCAGCTGTGCCGGATTGCTTTTCAGGCAAAGGCAATGGCTGCGTGGCTGTGGATGACGTTGTACATGCGTTATTGTGTCTATCCCATCACAATAAGGGGCTGGATGAAATACCTTACCATGCTGGTTGGCATGGACCAGCGAACGACCATGCCCTTCCAGGTCTTTTGGAGAGTGTTAAGGGGGAAGGGAGGCATGCATTGTGACTCATGCGAATCGTACTTACGGCTAAGGGCATCGTATACAAGACATCCTTCTAAGAGCATCGTTAAGGATTATCTTTTAGCACGTGCATTGCGCAGCAGAGTATCGCGTCAGGTCTGCCTGTAGTGTTTGGCTTTGTAGGGGTCACACTCTAATCCGCAGCGCTTGTACTGTGTGTGTATCCATCGTTCTCCTATCTCGGCGAAATCGCCAAATGGTCTTTGAGGACCTGTGTAGAGGTGCGGGCTTATGCTGGGGCTGTGCGGGGTGCAGGGGAAGCCGCTGGGCTGAGGCTACGTGGTGCATTTGAGGGAAGCCAAGCCGGTCCTTGCTTCGTTCTAGAAGAGCATGGGTTGCATTTTTGCCTGCGTACTTATGCATACATGCATTTGCCTTGTTGCGGCACCTCATGGTGCATGGGAGGATAAAGCAATGTGTGGCTTAGGGCGGTTGTACAGGCTGGAGCTTTGCAACCTGCTAACTCAGCAAACAATGCAGGCCGGGGGCCGCAGTGGGGCTGTGGGCAAAACCCGTCCTCCGTGCCCACATGCCGCGTGCGTTTAGCAGCGGAGCAACGTCGTGCTGTAATACCTTGAATGACCCCATCGGGCTTAACCCTAAGCCAATAACCGCAAAGCTGAGTCCCGTCCTCACTATGCAGGAGCCAGCGGACTTCGAGTGGTCCTCTGGGTTTGAAGCTCGGTGGATAGCCGGCGTGTTAACAATCCCTATCCTTTCTGCGTGCCTTACTCGACTTAGCATCCTGTCCTCTTGCCCTGTCAAACAGGCTCCCTAATAGCGTCCGTGTGCCCTTCCGCTCGCTACGGCCGGCTGATGCCGCGACGACACCGCCTCCGCTTAAGCCTCCTGCTGCATAATATCTACTTGGCATTCCAGATGCGGCACCGGGCAGGCAGTTCTCGTTGGCTGCCAACGAAACCAGCATCTGGAACGGCACCAGCCAAACTACCACCAAGAAAAACCCAAGCAAAACAGCGATGTGGTGGAAAGTAGTCATATGATAACGCATCCACATAATGTGCGAGAGCATTGTCATCGCAGAGGATAACACCAGCATGGGGTCGCGGAAGGATATGAACGGAAAGCTTTGGTGTACAACCCGCCAGTATCCCAGCGGTGCCGCGATGGTGGGTACAATGGTGAGTATGTCCACGCCCTCTAGCACCCACAGCAGGAGCAACACTACAAGCTGGCCTTGGATGGTGTAAATGATGACCTTGAGTATGGCGGCACGGGGAAGGGGTTAGGTAGTACATGAGAACGAATTTGTTGCAATGATGACGACGTGGGCATGAGCAACGCAAACGTAAAATCTCCGACTTCACACAGGTCAAACGAAACCAAATAGAAAACTTATTACTGTTCCTCGCGAAAAGCGGTGGAGATGGAAAACTTGGTTAATTGAAAAGATTATCATTTTTCCCACGCTGCTGCTACCGCTGCTGCTACGGCTGCGTTCCTCACCTTCTTCGTGGTCTTCAGATGCTCCTCTACCAGCTCAGCCTGATTGAAAGAGTCCGAAGAAAGTAAGGAAAACAGAGGGGCCGGGAAGGGTGAAGGGAGGCAAGGAAATTGTGATATCGGTATCGGGGGGCCGCACGAGGAAAGGGAAGATAAGGTATGTCCCCGCCCCCCGGCTCGACTACTTCCGCACGTTATATATTTATATTCCATTTGTTACAAGGAACATGGCTGTCGGACTGTATCAGGCG